GTAGGCACAGGAGTCTTGTAACCGTTGTTCTTGCTTTCAGTGAAACCCTTGTCATCAGTTATTCTTCAAATTTGCATTTTTCTAAAGTAAGACACGATATAGAAGGCGAAAAGCCAAAATATACATATTTAAGGGCATAATTTTCTGATATTTTGACCTCCTTGTGGATAAAACATAAAGAGGACACAATTTCACGCGAAATCAATTTAAAAATGCGCTTGAGAATATCGCTATATTTTTCTTAAACAGTTACTTCCTCATGTAAGAACTCTTTGCTTCATTAATTTCACCTGAAGTGCTTGAGGTTGCAGACGATAGCTCCGGCAAGATAACACGTGAAGACACTTGTTTACATAGATGATCAATAACTCTGCTATAATTCATAAAACTTATCAGCAAGCCGTATTCCAATACCATGGAACGTGCTCGTTATCGTCCCTCTTTCTGATTCTCGTGAGACATTTATTATTCTCGAGGGTTTGCTGGGTGCATCTTTTGGTCTTGTAGCATTTAGCTGCTTTATACTTACATTAATCATGCATCATTTGTATCCAATTGAGTGGCTGCACTTGTGAAAAATTCCTCCGCCTGCTTGGATTCTGCTGCACAACAGAAGGCTCCTAGTAACCAGGAACACATAATTAATATTTTAGCTTTATTGAATCCGTTTATAATTGCATTTAACATTCATCGTGTATGACAATGTAGAAAACAACATATCCACCTGTCGGTTTCGATTTGAAGGTTTGGAACATTGCTGATAGGGGCACAGCTTGTAGTGCTGTCACCTTGCGGGTAAGGGTCCCGAGAATGGCATATCTAATAATGACAAATCGACTGTTCAATTCTCAAAAGACGTGAGGGCCTGGTGTTTGGAAATTAAAGAGATGTACATTCCACATTGCCGCAATAATTGAATTTTCAATCCAACTTAATACAGAGGGCTACATTGCGAGACTAGAATGCAACATACAGTTTACAAGACCTGCTTATTTTTACATCTTTTGTTCGGCTGCATCCAGAAAGCGCCAAACAAGCTGCGTTAAATGTGATGCATGCACCTGTAGACGGCAAGCAGTACTTCGAAAGGCGCATGGACCTAACGGAGCCATATTGATAAGCTATACGCCTCAGTTGGCTTTCTAATTCTTGGAGTTTAATTCAATTCTTCGTGCGTTTCTAAGAACTCTCTGAAGTAAGATACATTAATGAGATTGGGGGAATCATTTACATAGTTAAAGGTATACAGGAGGACTCAGTATGCCGTACGCAGTCTTTATTAGAGGTACGTAATTGAATAAAATGGTTTTACATGTATATTAAGGTTATTGGTGCTGTCGCTGCTGTTGAGCCGCCAAATCAGTTAAAAATTTGACTTTCTTGTGTTTACATCGGCGTATTTAAGTCAAGCCGTTATACTTATCATAAGTGAGACCTCTATCGGACTGTTTAGACCCCCCTCGCTTATTAACTGCTAAACTTTTAATCATTTGGAATACACAAAGCAATTCACTTAATTACTTTCTGTATTTTTCCTAGTCATAATCGGCTACCTTTCACTTTCCCCAGAGAAATCAGTCTTATTGCGTTTGGTTGTTCTCTTCTCAACCATGATTGTGTTTATCAAAGAGGTTTGTGCTTCTCTGTAAGTCTTATACCAACCGCCGTTGCTCTTTGTGTGGAAGCTTATATTTCACTTTCTGTAAAACAGAAATTAAAACACTTAAGTAGATGATACCGTGAATTACATAAACCCGTTCTTATATATATTATTTTAAAAGTTATCTAAATAAGACCGTAGTCAAGCTAAATTGTAGGCTACAGGTACTCGCTGCACAAGCTGCCGTAAGCAGGAGAGCATTTAACCTAGCTTTCAAAAGTGCAATGAATTCTTTGTGTAATAGCTTCTGTTGAGACTCTAGTACGCATCCTCTCTATTATTAGCGCCTGTAAAAAGCTCCTGGAAGAGATATTGATCAATGAAATACACAAAAATATGTGTGCCGGTAGCCTATTTAGATCAGCAGGACTTTTTTACCATTATTGATCCAAAAATCTCAACACGAGATGGCATTTTGTGCGAGTGTCCAGTATGGATTGCAACCGAGGGCTTGCCGCAACATACAGCAAACCTCGGCAGAAAATCAATCTCATTGAATTTCTTATTCTCTTATTTACTTAGCCAGCGTAACTTACGTCGTTAAGTGTGCTCGGTATGTTATACTCAGACATACATAAAACTAGAAAAATTTGTTTATTTACCTGTGTAACCTCTACCCCCCCCCCANAGAAAAAATGAGGCAAAATTGATAACTTGGTTAATGAGCGAACAATACTCTAGTTTTGATTAAATCAGAACTTTTCTTGCACCTATTTTTATTTTTGCCATTTTGTAAGTGAAAAAAGGGGAATAGGGGATTGGTGTAGTGAAAGCCCAACCTTTACCTTTGGATGCTATTCTCATTAAACATATGCATAAAAGACAAAATTTAGACCACAAATAGATTCATGCAATCTACCAACCTTTTTTACAGTGAGTCATTGCAACTTATCAGTTATTTCTGGCCTAGGCTATCTGTAAGATTCTTACAACTGTGAAGTGCAACTTAGCCAGCTAAGTCTTTATAGGCTCAGATTTAAGACTGTACAGCGCAAAGCATTTTATTTTGGGAACAACAAACGCATTCTTCACTCGATTCCAGTAGGCACAGGAGCCTTGTAACCGTTGTTCTTGCTTTCAATGAAACCCCTGTCATCAGTTATTCTTCAAATTTGCATTTTTCTAAAGTAAGACACGATATAGAAGGCGAAAAGCCAAAATATACATATTTAAGGGCATAATTTTCTGATATTTTGACCTCCTTGTGGATAAAACATAAAGAGGACACAATTTCACGCGAAATCAATTTAAAAATGCGCTTGAGAATATCGCTATATTTTTCTTAAACAGTTACTTCCTCATGTAAGAACTCTTTGCTTCATTAATTTCACCTGAAGTGCTTGAGGTTGCAGACGATAGCTCCGGCAAGATAACACGTGAAGACACTTGTTTACATAGATGATCAATAACTCTGCTATAATTCATAAAACTTATCAGCAAGCCGTATTCCAATACCATGGAAAGTGCTCGTTATCGTCCCTCTTTCTGATTCTCGTGAGACATTTATTATTCTCGAGGGTTTGCTGGGTGCATCTTTTGGTCTTGTAGCATTTAGCTGCTTTATACTTACATTAATCATGCATCATTTGTATCCAATTGAGTGGCTGCACTTGTGAAAAATTCCTCCGCCTGCTTGGATTCTGCTGCACAACAGAAGGCACCTAGTAACCAGGAACACATAATTAATATTTTAGCTTTATTGAATCCGTTTATAATTGCAATTAACATTCATCGTCTATGACAATGTAGAAAACAACATATCCACCTGTCGGTTTCGATTTGAAGGTATGGAACATTGCTGATAGGGGCACAGCTTGTAGTGCTGTCACCTTGCGGGTAAGGGTCCCGAGAATGGCATATCTAATAATGACAAATCGACTGTTCAATTCTCAGAAGACGTGAGGGCCTGGTGTTTGGAAATTAAAGAGATGTACATTCCACATTGCCGCAATAATTGAATTTTCAATCCAACTTAATACAGAGGGCTACATTGCGAGACTAGAATGCAACATACAGTTTACAAGACCTGCTTATTTTTACATCTTTTGTTCGGCTGCATCCAGAAAGCGCCAAACAAGCTGCGTTAAATGTGATGCATGCACCTGTAGACGGCAAGCAGTACTTCGAAAGGCGCATGGACCTAACGGAGCCATATTGATAAGCTATACGCCTCAGTTGGCTTTCTAATTCTTGGAGTTTAATTCAATTCTTCGTGCGTTTCTAAGAACTCTCTGAAGTAAGATACATTAATGAGATTGGGGGAATCATTTACATAGTTAAAGGTATACAGGAGGACTCAGTATGCCGTACGCAGTCTTTATTAGAGGTACGTAATTGAATAAAATGGTTTTACATGTATATTAAGGTTATTGGTGCTGTCGCTGCTGTTGAGCCGCCAAATCAGTTAAAAACTTGACTTTCTTGTGTTTACATCGGCGTATTTTAGTCAAGCCGTTATACTTATCGTAAGTGAGACCTCTATCGGACTGCTTAGACCCCCTCGCTTATTAATTGCTGAACTTTTAATCATTTGGAATACACAAAGCAATTCACTTAATTACTTTCTGTATTTTTCCTAGTCATAATCGGCTACCTTTCACTTTCCCCAGAGAAATCAGTCTTATTGCGTTTGGTTGTTCTCTTCTCAACCATGATTGTGTTTATCAAAGAGGTTTGTGCTTCTCTGTAAGTCTTCTTCCAGCCGCTGTTGGTCTTTGTGTGGAAGCTTATATTTCACTTTCTGTAAAACAGAAATTAAAACACCTAAGTAGATGATGCCGTGAATTATATAAACCCGTTCTTACATATATTATTTTAAAAGGTATCTAAATAAGACCGTAGTCGAGCTAAATTATAGGCTACAGGTACTCGCTGCACAAGCTGCCGTAAGCAGGAGAGCATTTAACCTAGCTTTCAAAAGTGCAATGAATTCTTTGTGTAATAGCTTCTGTTTAGACTCTAGTACGCATCCTCTCTATTATTAGCGCCTGTAAAAAGCTCCTGGAAGAGATATTGATCAATGAAATACATAAAAATATGTGTGCCAGTAGCCTATTTAGATCAGCAGGACTTTTTTACCATTATTGATCCAAAAATCTCAACACGAGATGGCATTTTGTGCGAGTGTCCAGTATGGATTGCAACCAAGGGCTTGCCGCAACATACAGCAAACCTCGGCAGAAAATCAATCTCATTGAATTTCTTATTCTCTTATTTACTTAGCCAGCGTAACTTACGTCGTTAAGTGTGCTCGGTATGTTATACTCAGACATACATAAAACTAGAAAAATTTGTTTATTTACCTGTGTAACCTCTACCCCCCCCCCCCCCCGCNAAATCAGAACTTTTCTTGCACCTATTTTTATTTTTGCCATTTTGTAAATGAAAAAATGGGATAGGGGATTGGTGTAGTGAAAGCCCAACCTTAACCTTTGGATGCTATTTTCATTAAACATATGCATAAAAGACAAAATTTAGACCACAAATAGATTCATGCAATCTACCAACCTTTTTTACAGTGAGTCATTGCAACTTATCAGTTATTTCTGGCCTAGGCTATCTGTAAGATTCTTACAACTGTGAAGTGCAACTTAGCCAGCTAAGTCTTTATAGGCTCAGATTTTAGACTACAAACCAACTTCAAACATTTAGTAAAGCAAGCGCAAGGAATAGAGTTAGTTTGAAGGCTCTGCCTCCCCATAGGGTGAGAACAAACACAGTCACACTGTATGATGCATTACAGAAAACATTGGTTAAAAATATACTCTGGAATTTTACATTTTCACTAGTATAGAATCAATTTGATTTCTAAAACTGACTTATTATAAAAATACTCCTGTCAATTTAAAACTTTTTCATAAAGCATATCTGAAATATACTGATAAAATGTTATTAAAAATATTAAAATTTGATATTCACAGATAAAATAGGCCCAAGTCAAAATGATTAAGACAATTATTGAAGCATTATTCAAACCCCAATTTTGATTATTTTCATACAATAAGTGATTCACAAGTTCTTTAACAGAGTTGCACCTAATTTGACTACATGATATCTATCAAAATCTCTCTAAAATCAAGTGACAAAAATGCCCACAGTTTCAAGCACCATCAAATACGGCTTCAGTAAGTAATATCCTCAATTGTTTCATAATAAACGTCGTGTCACTTGAATGTACCATTCTCCAGAAAAAAAGATGAACTTGCAAGGTTTGATAAGTCTGCATTTACAGGTAGATGTCATTGTTTAATATATACATGAGGCAGCTTTATATCGTGGTCAACAATATTATATTATGTCAGTTTCTCTAGCCTCCATGTCTAATTCGTCATAATATTTTGATTTTCAAATTCAGGGTCCCCTTGTAAAATATCTTGCATATCCTCTTGATCACAGAAGAATCTGAGTTGAGAATACAGTTGAGAATACAGAGTTAAAATTAGGCCTCTCCTCTCCACTCGGGGTCCTCTTGCAACTGAATCTGGCTGACATCCATGGTCACATCTTGAAAAATAATATATTCCCAAAAAAGTTTAAATTGTGCAGTAATAATAATAATAATAATAATCAATAAATCTTGGACACATTACTTGTGGTACGTCTGCATCACATGACAGACAAGAAAAAAATACTGGCTCTTGAAAATGGACTTTAAGTAATGAAAATGCAAGATGACAGCTAGTAGATATTATATGTGCATGTAATTTATTAGAAATTCTGACTTTTCAGTCCTAATGATTTAGATTATTTATAGCCAATAATCTGAGAAAATAAAATATACAACAGAGAAATTGATTGCAATAAATCCTGCTCGTACCTGACTGCTTAATATTCACTGCAGCAAACCTCTCTACGACATCGTCGAGCTGATCAGTAGGGTCATCGTAATCGCACCCCGTGTACGCCTGATTCTCGAGGCAGTACTTAAGGAAACTACACCAAAGAGAAGTTGAAAATAAAGAGAGAATTGCCTACTTTCTTTTGACTTTCTGTTTGGACTTTCATTTACAATAAAAGAATTGCCTACACTATTTTGCCTGTCAGTTCAGGCTTTCATTTACATGTTTTTTTAACTTTCTCTTTTTTCTATTGTGCTTTACCATTTAACAATCTGTCTGAACTAAATTATAGTAGCTTTCTCTTTTATCCTTTCTCTTTTTAATCTTTCTTTCTTGAACCTGACCTGGTTGATTTTTTGTGTTTGTTTTGAAAAAGTTTTATAATTTCATTGAACTTTTTTTTGCTTACTGATTAAATAAATTTAAAAAAAATTCACTTCACCTGTTCCAGTGTTCATCTTGCGAAAGAAGAAATGGATTCCCTACAACAATCAATAGGGCCTTTGCTCTTGTGATCGACACATTAAACCTCTGAAAAAAAATTAATTCCACATGTAACTGTATGTGCGGGTGACCACTGAAGACAGTATAGCCTGAGACTAACTGTTCATATCTCTTCTGTGAATTGCGCATCATATGGCATAGTCTATGCAGTGTCATAGTGAAAAGAAATGGTGAAGAAAAAAGTATAGACTATAGCTGTTTAAATAACCTTACATTTCAAAATATGTGTGTGCACATCCACATGTACAAAGTCTTATGTATTATGTGTTCACGCATATACACATACCACAGCACAATCATGGTCAAACTGATAAAACTTTCAGATGTATACTTTACAAGCACAAAAATCATATTTCTATATAGTATTTGTGGTGCAATTACTGCACAGATTAGAACTAGTAGCTTACTTTTCAATTTTGTTGCTACCACTCAATAGGAATTGGAGTAGGAATATTAAAATGTTAAGAATTAATGGCTTAAAAAATACAGCATCTGTAAAATTCACGATTTCCCCTCAGTGAAAAAATCAAGTTATTACCATATACTGGGGTGGCACTAGCATTTTTCTCCTTCAGCCAAATTACTACTTTTTCATCACTTCTTTCTCCAAATGGTTTAAATTTGACTAAAATAAGTCAAATCAACCCTATTTTGTTTAGCCAATTGAAGTCAGTTTTAGCATTTGGCTTAATTGGCCAGTGTTAACTCTACCCCAGTGTGTGTGTCCACATGCTTAAGTGTACAAATGACTGACCTTTGGGTTCTTTAAAAAGCCCAGCTTGAACTCTGCGTCCATAGCCAGGTAATTGGGGTTACTCCTCACGGTGGACACCATGATGACCCGTCTCTCCTGACCCTGGAATTCCTCCACACTGCCCACCTTGATGTCCCGAAAGTTTTTCTTGAACAGCAGTTGCCTCAGTTTTTGAACCTGTGGAGAGAATGAAAAGGGATGTCTGTGCATTTTAACAGGCCCATAGCCAGCAATTTCAAAGGGGGGTTCTTTTTCTGAAAAAGTGGACTTTTTTTAATAAAAACGTCATGTACCTAGATCAAATTTTACCCAGAGTGGACTTTTTTCCAGCAATAGGGGTGGTACTTTTGAACCCTCTGAACCCCCCCCGGCTACGGGCCTGCTATACTGATCCGTTACATTCAGCATTTACTTTATCTTTATCTTATTTTACTAGTAGTTAGCCATAAATCTGAACAGGCTGCATAATGTTAGTACATTACATTATAACCAAGTTCAAGTGGATTAGTAATTGAATTGGCCATGTGAGATGGGAGTGAGCAAATTCACCACAATTTTAATCATAAATTAAAAATTTTTTCTTAATACTTTATCACATGTACACCGCTGTAGTTAAAGTAAGACTTTTCATAAACCTAACAGTACCATATCTATAACATACTATTAACTCAGATGTATTGTGGCTGTGCTTTAAGGTAAATGGAATGTTGGACCTTTAAAGAATGTTGACCACTGGCTCTTTAGAGCTACACCAGGTTCTTAGAATCTATTGTCCTAATTCATAAAAAGGCCCAGTTAATAATTGTAAACAAATTTGCAAAGTTTTACTAGACAGCTTCAATTAATTGGCATTTGGCGTGAAGCCCGTTTTGATATTGCAAACTGTTGTTAGTAAATTGAAAAGGGAGAGGGACTGGGGAGGGGTTGCCTGTATTCATCATGGAATAAGCTCTGTCATATTTCCCTTACTTGTTTTCTGTAGGGAGAAATAATTCCAATTTCATTCTGCAAGACGCGGATGCCTCTGGCTTCCAGTAGCTTCTCCACATATCCCAACACAATAGTTGCTTCTTCTGGATTGAAGAACGATGGACTCCTTTCCTCCCTCATGTCCTCCCCAACCACTCCATGGAATACAAAGGGACACCCCGTTTTTGGTAAACCTTCCCAGTTGCAGAGGGACTCCCTGGCAAGTCGGTCAGCACAGGCTTCTAGCTCATTGTCGTAGAACTGTTCGTTTGGAAGCTTGAGGATAGCAGGATGTGATCTGTAGTTTTTGAGGAGTTTTGTGAGGAGGAATGGGTTGTAATGGCCTTCACGTTTGTACAGTACATCTTGATCGTCATCATCTGAGCCAGGACTCGAACCACCCCTCTTCTTGTACACATCACAGTAGGTCATGTATCTTTCTAAGAGTGAAAGTCCTGTAAGACATTAAAACAATGAGACATTTCATAGGCAAAATTTAGAACAGGGGCACATGACTTAGAAATCCAAAGAGGCAGATACCGAAAACCAAAATCAATACCCCCTGAACAAAGGATCTGCAAGTTATGCACAGATGAAGTCGAAAACGAAATACACTTTCTTTTAAAATGCCCCTTACTCACCAAACACAGGGAGATCCTAAAACCAGATCCTGCACAAACCCCAGAGGGCCAGTTCAAATGCATAATGCAGTCAAACAATTTAGATATTATAAAGAATGTGGCCCACTATATCACAATGTGTAATAAGGAAAGAAAAAATATTCTCAACCAACCACCACCTAGTCAACCAAAGTAACTGAACGTATACTGCAATTGTAAAATCTGATCGCAGTTATTGTATAAACAATATTGTAATTTACTATTGTAATTTTAGTTATTTGATTATATAATGTATACTGTTAGGTCATAGTCATTGTAAAAAATGTACTTGAATCGCAAAAAAAAAAAAAAAAAAATATACATGTAAAAATATATAAATGAAGTTATTCTTTATCAAAGAAACTACATAACTATGAGGTTCAAAAGGTTTTATTTTTACCATTATATGTACAAAAGAGATGAAAGAGACATTTGCCAATGCTTAAGTACAAGATCTCTACTACCACATCTAAAAGTATTTCAGTGTTTGCAATTTTACTAGAGCTTATAGAACTACCAAAAAAAAAAAAATTGATCCTAGTCAAAACCTAGTCCTAGTCAAAAGAAAGACTTTCTTTTACTAAATTAAAAGTTATTGAAGGAATAATTCTGGGCACATCCATAGCAGTAAAAATGTTTCATTAATTGCATTACTTTTTACTTTACTAAAATCTTACAAGCAGAAATCACTGGTAAATAAAAAACTTTTAGAATAAGTCCTACATGTATATGATTTTACCAGACTCTCAAACACCTTTGTAAATATTATAGTTAATCATAGTGCTTTTCTCCACAATTTTCAACTTCATTTTTCTTTTAGTCATAGTCTTATTTCATTTCTATTTAAGCCTGAGGTAGTAATGTAACTTCCCCTTTTAATGCATTTCACAACACACAACACTTACAAACGCTGGCAGATTAAACCTTTACTATTACTCATATTATCATATTTATTATAATGGCTGTTGGGGATATTATTATCATAAAAATTTACTATAATTCTAATTATCAAGTCAAAGATAAATCACCCCAGTCCATATTTAATGGCCAAAGGATACTTATCACTGTCATTAATATAGATGTAATAATAATAATAATAATAAAGATAATAATAATTATTATTATAAGTTACCTACCCAGTCCATATTTAATGGCCAGAGGATACTTATCTTTGTAATTAATATAAATGTAATAATAATAATAATAATAATAATCATAATAATAATAATTATTATTATTATTATTATTATTATAAGTTACCTACCCAGTCCATATTTAATGGCCAGAGGATACTTATCTTTGTAATTAATATAAATGTAATAATAATAATAATAATAATAATTATAAGTTACCTACCCAGTCCATATTTAATGGCCAAGGGGGACCTCAAAATTGGTCCAAGTTGTTTGGGATCACCTGCCAGTACCACCTGACCGCCATCTTTGCTCTTAACGTCACACTCCAAAATTCCAGCTAACGCAATCAAACCTTCTGGCTCCACGGCATGACCGGCCTCGTCAATGAAAATGTGCGTGAAGTGCCCTGGTGGAAAATTGGCTGAGGCAATCCTGGATGCACAGTGAGAATTTCAATTTAAAAAAAAAAAACAGAAAACTGAAATAATGAATTTCAATTATTGAAAACAGAATTATACTTTTGTGGCAAATTCTATAGACATGCAATTGGAATTTCAGTTAATAAAAATATTCGAAGTATTGACTTAAAATAAATGAAAAAAAAAAAACATTTTGTGCCAACCCTTGACATGCAATGAGAATTCAAATTATTGAAAATAAACCTACAGACATGCAATCAAGACAATTTAACCTTTATAATATTAAAATAAATTAATATTTAACTTTCTGTGAAGAATAAAGAACACAAATCTTTACAAAGGTAAATTGAAGAAGTTTAATAAAGAAGAAAAAGGGCTTAGCAGGGTAGAAATATAATATTAGTACTGTTTCAGTAACTTCTACTACTTCTACTACTACTATATATGTAACTACTATTACTACCACTACTACCAATATAATACAATATTCTCTCTCACCTTCCGGCCGTTACCAATGTGCAAACAACCACTTTATACTTCATCAACTCACTTTTCTTGGGATAGAAATATTGCTTTCTTCCTGGATCATAATTTGAGCACTCCTGTAATTAATTGTTTTACGAATCACCTTGATAAATAATACAAACAGTGCTAGCTTCGGAGAAAAATTTTTTAATTAAGGAAGACTTGCGTTTCGGTTCTAACCCATGAGGGTTTTAATTAAATCCTCTCATTTCCTATGGTTGAAGACATTATTCTAGATCTTGTATCATTTCCATTGGCTCAGAAATAAAATTTTCATAGGTGATGCCCATTAAGTTACAGTTATTTTAGTTTACCTATCATGTTAATAAAAAAATCTTCCCTTTTGTTAAGTGAATTATTATTATTATTATAGCACTAAGTTGTTGGCCAAAAAGCCAAAGCTTCCAATAAATATGTGTAACATATACGTAGACAACAAAACCATTGCCACCATTTAAAGATCATAGCACAAAATGTTGGACTTTTGATAAAGACTACCATTAATGCAGAGCACACAAAGCTAACACTTCTCTTTAAAAAATTTAATACCCTTGAATTAAATTACAGTGATTTTACCCTCAAGTCATCAGGTAAGTCTCTCCAATCTCTGGAAAAAGCATGCATTCTTAAAACTTGCTTCTTTGGAAGATGTTTTAGCAGTCGGTGAGCAATAAGATCAGTGGCGCTGTTAGATGGCGCACAGGCAAGAATGTGGGATGATGGGATACATTTCACAACCTGAAAAACACGCAGATCTTAAATATATATATATATATATATATAATAGTAACTAGCAATCATAAACCAATGAATGGAATTTTTCCGACTATATATATGTAGATTTCTGACTATCTGGAGTCAAAAATATTTTGAGATTGATCCCCCTGGATCTCACGCCATATTTTCAAACTTTTGAACTAAATGGCAGTCTCATCCCTATAAACCTTTAAGCCTACTGGGCCTCTTTAGGTTCTCAAAATCTACCGGCTCAAAACATAAATAGTAGTCCATAGCAGTCTCTACAAAAAATATATTATTCACCATAAAAAATGTATGAACATAAAACAGCACTGCCCTCAAATTATGCTAAAAATACACATTCTAATTTTATATCATATTAATTCATAAATGACTCGTTGACCGAGTTGTTTACCTGTTCAGTGTTAGAAATTAAGGCTGGACCGTCTGCCCCGGGCTGACAACTTTCAGAATGGGCTGAGAAGTTTTCCCACCCGGCAGACATTCGAGCCAGCTACTTCTCAAGATGACTGAACTTTCGGTCCAGCAACTAATTTTCCTAAGAGGCAAACACTGTACCTGTTTCAAAGCTTCCACCAAGGTCACTGTTTTTCCTGTTCCTGGAGGTCCAAATATCAGATAGGGGACAGGTCTGGATGTCCCCGCCACGATGTGGACCACTGCCTGGCGTTGCTCAGCATTGCTTTCCAGTTGTCTGTCATAAAATCTATCGCAAAAAATAAGCAAAATTTTACTAGCATTATTCTCTTTCTGAGTTTTGGAGAAGCAAATATATTTGCTTTTTCAATTGTTTGTTACAAAACCTGAAGCAAAAGTTTCAATTTATGCAGAAAAAAGATGAAGGTGAATACACACAGTGTAACTGTTAGACCTGTGTCTTTCTATCTCATATCTCAGACGTGCTCAAGTTTATATTCATTTTTCTTTCCCCCTTTCTCTCTCTAACTGAACTCCTTTAGCACAACTTATACACCAACATCTCCCTTCTATCAGATTTCTCACCTGAGATCAGAATCCACTGGTATGATTGTTCCCCATTTGCAAGCCCTTTCTGCCACAGGGAACAGGAGATCTTCCAAGCTGTGTTCATCTGCCAGTGCCACAGCCCTGTGCTGGACACGAAGAGGCAGACGACCAAAAGTAAATCTTACACTGAACTTCTTTCCTGGAATGAAATTCTCCAATAATCTGGAAAAAGGAAATTGAATTGTATGATGGATCTGTACTCCTAAGATTTCATACTTTTCCTTGTCACATCACATAAGAAGGCCAAATTTAATTTGATTTTACATGGCCTGATATTTAAATGATTGGATTCCAATTTGTTAATATAAATGATTCAAAAATACCTAGGGTAGAAATAAGATCCTTTAAGTAAACCTCCACATACTAAAACAAGTTAAGGAAAAAGAAATTAAACAGCATACAAAAAGACAAATAAACATGTAGAGTTATTTCATATTACTTTTACAAGTATGACTAGATTGTGCCTTGTTCACAACCCATCTGCATCATACTTTAGTTAACACACAAAGAAACAAATACATTAATTAAATTAATAAAATCACATGAAAAATCTTTAAAAATCTCTAGAAAACACAGAAGCTAATTATACATCATCTTTGACAAACATTTGGATGCAGTGTTTTAAAAATAATAAAAAAGTGAAAATTGAGGGGGAATATAAAAGTCTGCTTTGAATTGGATAGTATTGGAATAACAATTTACCAACATGACTTTTAAAAAGTGATACGAAAAACAAGAATGCCTACATGGGTAACACAGTTAGCACAACAACTAAGATTTAAAAAGTCCTATTTCAAAATAGCATTTCACAAATATGTAACTCACTTGTTACTGAAGCCTAGTGCAACTTCATTCAACATGACCTGATGGACATAGCCCTTATATTCCCTGTCTTCTAATTGGCCATTTGACTTGTATTCTCTCACAAACAGCCAATCACCTTTCAGGATAGATGGCCTGTTCTCTGCCAGTCCAGGCACCTGCAGAATCCAATCAGCAAATTAAGCACTCTCAATGTATGTACTCTAGATTATCCAAACCCAGAAAAACCATGGGGTGTGCAGATTCACAATCAGGGGCAGGTTCAGAGATATTTTCTGACAGTCTTCCAAATTATCTTTGTTGATCCGTCCTCCATTTTTGACCGTCTTCCGACAGAAAAAATTAGGTACCCGTCAATGTAAACTTGAAAACCTGACCGTCTTCTGGAAGACCCAGAAGACGGCCTAAATCCGCCCCTGACAATATCAACCTCTTCCATTAAAATATATTTGAAGTAAATAAAAAATGACAATACAATAGCTGTGACCAAGGTCATTAGTATGATTAGAACACGAAATGGGTATTAATAAAAACTGGGAATTAATAAGACAAAAATGTGTTAATTTACCAAGGCAGTGACCATTATGTTGAAAAAAGTATATAAGCAATCCAAAAATATAAAGGTATCTCAGTTAAAACCAACGGGATTCTTATTACGAAAAAGAATTGATAAGGATGTATACAAAATTATAACAAAAAATCACCTTCAGAACCAGCAATCTGGGATTAGTATTGGATATCGTCATGGTTTCAGCCTCCATGTCATATTTACGTATATCCACTTCCATCTGAGCTTCTTCCATATGAAGTAAAGAGGCAAAACGCCTTCTATGAGTCTGGAAGTTCAACTGGCCTTCCAGATTTTCTCTATAAGAAAAAAATTGCACAATGTCATAGGGTATTTATAATTTTCCTATCTTTGTATAATAGGGTAGAATGTTTGAAGTCCTAGATTTTACACACACACACGCACGTACGCACACACACACATATACACACACACACACACACATCAAAACTCCAATCAATATGTGTTAAAGTACTACGATACTTGTAATATACTACTGATTAATGACTTCCTTCAACTTAACATAAATCCCTTCTGAGATCATGGGTAAATTGCAGCTTGCTAGCTGGATGGGAGAGCTATGGGAAAACCATATGTAGAGCACCCCTATCACGTCCATGTTGCAAACAAAAATAATTTTATATTGCAAATATTAAGGATTTGTCAGAATTTAAAGGGGTAATAACTCTTAATTTGTATTTCATCTATATTTTACAAACCAATTGGGCTTGGACCCTTCCTATGAAAAGCTTGATAGCCTCACTTCTCACATTGCAGATATTGAAAAGAGAATAGACAGTTATAATAAACTAATTGGCCTAGGCTGCGTTCACATGATAAATCTATTTTCTAAAAATCTAAAAATCTATTTGTGGTATCTTGTGATCACAGTCTGTGCCCTGAATACTCCGCAGAGTAATTACTGGCAGTGCGAGCGAGTTACTTCCAAAGCTGTAATTAATTCTCGGCTGCGCTTGGAGGAGATTCTCATACCTTGATGCATGCGCAGCAGGAAGTTAGAAAGTAAATGTCGGTCACAATTGCTTTGAAAAATGTGTTTGTCGATTTATCGACAACAAGCACTACCACTAGCCATATTATGCGTCTGTATGCTTGAGTCGTCACTACTAAACTAATGAACTCCACAGCTTAGAGATACTACTGCGCATGCGTCAAGGTGTCAGAATCTCCTCCGAGCGCAGCCGAGAATTAATTACAGCTTTGGAAGTAACTGGCTCGCACTGCCAGTAATTATGCCGTGGGGTATTCAGGGCACAGACCCTGATCACAAGATACCGCAAATAGATTTTTAGAAAATGTGAACGCAGCCTTACTCTGTATGTGTAATAAAATAAATATTTAGTAAAACCATTTTTGTAATCTCTAAATAAATGGTTGCAATAATGTAAAGAGAGACAGAGAGAAACAAGCCAGTATAACATTACATGAGGTTGTCTAGTTCTGTCCTATCTTCTAGTGACATGTTGCCTGTTGCCTCAAGACCTCTGTTCATCAGTCTACGGAGTACTGGAGGAATAGGGTAAGGACCTAGTTCTATCTCCCTTTCTAGCTCTTCTCTGCCATCTCTACATGAATAAAAACAAGGCAACAGTAAACAAGTTAGAGAGAGAGGAAGACAGCAAGAGAGAGGGAGAGAGAGAGGGAGGGAGAGAACAAAGGAGAGAGAGAAAGAGAGAGA